AAGCATTGGTGGAAGTCTGTCCTTTGGTATGATGAGTCCAAATTTGAGATTTTTGGTTCCAACTGCCGTGTCTTTGTGAGACGCAGGGTAGGTGAACGGATGATCTCTGCATGTGTGGTGCCCACCGTGAAGCATGGAGGAGGAGGTGTGATTGTGCTTTGCTGGTGACACTGTCTGTGATTTATTTAGAATTCAAGGCCCACTTAACCAGGATGGCTACCACCGCATTCTGCAACGATACACCATCCCATCTGGTTTGCGCTTAGTGGGACTATCATTTGTTTTTCAACAGGACAATGACCCAGAACACACCTCCAGGCTGTGTACGGGCTATTTGACCAAGAAGGAGAGTGATGGAGTGCTGCATCAGATGATCTGGCCTCCACAATCCCCCGACCTCAACCAAATTGAGATGGTTTGGGATGAGTCGGACCGCAGAGTGAAGGAAAAGCAGCCAACAAGTGCTCAGCATTAGTATTATTAGTATTATATATATATTTATAATTATTATTCATATTTTTAAAGCAAAGTATAAGGGAGTTATACTCCAGTCTAGTAGGTGGCAGTAATGCAACATTTATTGGATGCCAACCGCCATTTAACGTCATTGAAGAAGAGGATTCTCGGTTGAACATGGATGCGCATCATACAGTCCTCCTTGCACTTTGAAAACCACGCCCAACGTGACGTTAGCACCTCCCACCGGCCGAAACGGTGTGAAAAGAGAGTGGGTGCGCTTGAGTGGTAAGGCTAAAGCAACCGACTGTAATCAAAAATCAAGTCAAGTGGAGTCGGCGTAGGTGCATCTGTGACAGGCTGAGGCGAAAGTCGGACACTAATGTGTTTTTCCAACAGCAAGCCTCAGATCAAAATGGAGACTTTGTAATAATCCGTAATTTTTTCGGCTACCAGCATGCATCTTTCTCATTTCAATCAGTCATGTGCAAGGTTCTACGCTGTCTAAATAACTCAACTGGCTAGTTTGCCTGTCTGTAAAGAGAAGGGCGGGCTGTATATTTCTCTGTCCACTCACTTCATAATTTCACCCGATCACTTTTCCCGCATGGTCTGATAATTTAGATTGCTGCTGCCTGCTAGTATGATAAAGCACATGGGGAGGACGTTTGCTATCAATGTGGATAATATAACATGTGTCTGCCTGGTACAAATTGAGAACACAGACACACATACACCCCGACTGTCTCTCTCTATGAGTCGACTGCAGTCAAAACTTCAGGACCTTTCAGCACATTATTTTTCTAAAGTTCATGCAGTGGACATGTTGGCGCAAGCTGGACAATTATTATCCCCATTATGCAACACACTGAAAGTTGGTGGCTGACTTGACAATTAGTTTGCTGGAACGCGCCCATGGTGTCCCACTACAGCTGGGACATCACTAGTTAATAACACAGACACCAAGTAATAATTATGGCTAAACTCTGCAAATTTCTACAATTTATCTTCATAAAGTCTGATTTTGAACCTACTCCTAACCACAGTGCTAACCTTATGACTAACCCTAACCTTAAATTAAGACCACAATTTTTACGACAGCCAATTTTGACTTTGTGGCTGGAAGAAGTTCCACGCGCGTTTGATGTAAACTGGCGCCATGCATGGCTCACGCCACACAAATTTATGGTGACGAACAAAGTAAAGGTCTCCTTTAATATTATCCATAGATTCTACCCGTGTAATAGCTTGATTTCTAAATGTATACCTGATGTTAAGCAGTGAATGCAGTTTTTGTTAACTAGAAACTAAATCTATTGAACACTTATTATTTTGTAGTTGTTTGCATAGTGAGGTGTTCTGCACTGATTTTAAGCTATATCTTGGCAACAAAATGCATACAACCATTGAAATATGCAAGTTTAACATTATTGTACGACACTGATTCTACAATTGAACGTCAGTATGTCATTAATCTCTTAATTTTATTAGGAACATTTTTCATACACAAATCAAAATGTATTAAGAAACGGGCCCTTTAAAAATATGTTTTACTGATTTGGAATATTATTTAGAATCATTAAAATGTATGCAAAACAAAATGTCTCAAACTGTATTTGCTACCTGTCTGGATTTGATATGTGGATTTTTATTAATTTTTTATTTGTAATTTCTTCTATATGTAATCCCTCTGTCTGTTCTGTATTTTGTATGTTACAGTTTAATAATAATACAACAAAGTTCCACACGCGCATTCTATTGACGTAACACGATCAGTTTGCCCCTAGCGTCACCGATTGAGCGAGCTCAAGTTCTGTTCCTGGTTAGAATGGTCAAACGATTGTAAATGCCTGAAACGTGTTCACTGGATATTCCGGTGTGGCAAGGAATGAGAGAGGCTAAAGAAGTTGTGAAATACGGTGTCTTCTGTGATAGAGGTAAGGTATATGCGGCAATGTTTGTAATTGTTGCCAACGCCTAGCGCCACAAGGTGCGCTCGCGCTACTATTGTGTAACCTATGATAGCTAGCTAATTAATTAACTTTAGCTAGATAGCTAACGTTGGCTCTCTAAACTGGAACAGTCCATGTAGGTCAGTGTAATCTATTTATAATATAAATAGGTTTGAACCCAACTGCTTTTGTTTTCAGGCATTGCATTGGCATACAAGACGTAGCTAGATGTCTCCAGTATCGTTGACGTTGAAAGAGGTAGCTAGCTACAGTGCATCTAATGAAAAAGTGTCATGTAACGTTAAAGTGCATTCCGGAAGTACTCAAGACCTCTTGACCTTTTCCGCATTGTTACTTTAAAGCATTACTCTAAAATTGATTAAATTGTATTTCCCCCCCACATTTTGACCATGCAAAAAAAGGTTTAGAAATTTTAGCTAATTTATTAAAAATAAAACACAAATATATTTACATAAGTATTCAGACCCTTTACTCAGTACTTTGAAGCACCTTAGGCAGCGATTACTGCCTCGAGTCTTCTTGGGTATGATGCTACAAGCGTGGCACACCTGTATCTGTGGAGTTTCTCCCATTCTTCTCTGCAGATCTTCAAGCTCTGTCAGGTTGGATGGGGAGCATCGCTGCACAGCTATTTTCAGGTCTCCAGAGATGTTCGATCGGGTTCAAGTCGGGCTCTAGCTGGGCCACTCAAGGACATTCAGAGACTTGTCCCGAAGCCACTCCTTGGCTGTGTGCTTAGGGTCGTTGTCCTGTTGGAGGGTGAACCTTCACCCCAGTTTCAGTCTGAGGTCCTGAGCGCTCTGGAGCAGGTTTCCATCAAGGATCTCGCTGTACTTTGCTCCGTTCATCTTTCCCTTGATCCTGACTAGTCTCCCAGTCCCTGCCGTTGGAAAAACATCCCCACAGCATGATGCTGCTACCACCTTGCTTCACCGTAGGGAGGGCGCCAGGTTTCCTCCAGACGTGACGCTTGGTATTCAGGCCAAAGAGTTCAATCTTAGTTTCATCAGACCAGAGAATCTTGTTTCTCGTGGTCCGAGAGTCATTTAGGTGCCTTTTGGCAAACTCCAAGCTGGCTGTCATGTGCCTTTTACTGAGGAGTAGCTTCCGTCTGGCCACTACCATAAAGGCCTGATTGGTGGAGTGCTGCAGAGATGGTTTACCTTCTGGAAGGTTCTTCTGTCTCTAGAGGAACTCTGGAGCTCTGTCAGAGTGACCATCAGGTTATTGGTCACCTCCCTGACCAAGGCCCTTCTCCCCCGATTGCTCAGTTAGGCCGTGCGGCCAGCTCTAGGAAGAGTCTTGGTGGTTCCAAACTTCTTCCATTTAAGAATGATGGAAGCCACTGTGTTCTTGGGGACCTTCAATGCTGCAGACATTTTTTGGTACCCTTTCCCAGATCTGTGCCTAGACACAATCCTGTCTCGGAGCTCTACGGACAATGCCTTAGACCTCATGGCTTGGTTTTTGCTCTGACATGCACTGTCAACTGAGGGACATTATATGGACAGATGTGTGCCTTTCCAAATCATGTCCAATCAATTGAATTTACCACAGGTGGACTCCAATCAAGTTGTAGAAACATCTCAAGGATGATCAATGGAAACAGGATGCTCAATTTCGAGTCTCATAGCAAAGGGTCTGAATACTTTTTATTTTAATAAATTAGCAGAAATGTCTAAACCTGTTTTATTTTTGTCATTATGGGGTATTGTGTGTAGATTGCTGAGGATTTTTTTTATTTAATCAATTTTAGAACAAGGCTGTAACGTAACAAAATGTGGGAAAAGTTAAGGAGTCTGAATACTTTCAGAATGCACTGTATGTTATGGTGAGTTATGAGGCTACTATCGGAATTCAAATTGGCCTATCAGGGATGTAGCTATTCATTACCTGGGATGGAATTAAGAATTTTGGGCACTGGCCAGCTGGGCTAGTAGACCACCATTTTTACTAGGCCGGGTCCAAATACACACATTTTCACTAGCTGATGGGCTAGTTGTGCAAATTTCCTACTGTACTAGTCCTGTCTGAAAAGTAGCCATGGGCTAGGGGGCTAGCTTAATATCCATCCCTGTTCGTTACGTCTTGCAATGAAACTGTTTACCGTTTATGACAAACGGAAGCAAACGGGACGAAACTGGGAAGGACCAACATTAATTTGTACAATAGTAACTCTGGATTTCCTTGGAAAAGGTTTTCCGTTTGGAGTAAACCGTTTCAGTTGCAAAACGTTTCGCAACAGAATCGACCTAATGAAACACCCCAGCGGACATGCAACTACGACCACAAATTACCTTTCAACTTTAGGTTTTGTCAGCAAGTTCAGAGCTGGGTGAATCATCGCTTACACTTTTCAACCAACATCAACAGTGTTGATAGGAAATGGGAAGTTAAAAGTTTGAATCCAGTTTTGTGTAAAACTGCCAAATGTGTTACTTCTTAGCTGATCACTTTGAATACTCCAATAACCATGTTTCTATTAGAGGGATATAAACTCCTATCAATGTTTAATTTTACGACATCTCTTAACATCTTACTAAATTATTTTCTGTTTCTACTACTCTACAG